AGAGAGAGACAGAGACAGAGACAGAGACAGACAGACACAGAGAGAGGCAGGTGGGAGAGGGAAAGGAAAAGCTCACAGAGATTTCTCTGTTCTAAGCCTTAGTCCCAACTTCTTCAGCATCTGGATCCATGGGCACAAACATCTCAGGTACGCCCACTTCAGTGACCCCCTGTCTCTGATGTTGTCAAAGTCATGCTGCTCTGACTAGAGCCTCTGAGCTACCATTAAAAACTTCAATGAATGTCTGTATGTACACAGAAGTGGTGAGCAAGTGGTGCCTACCTTGCCTTTTCCATATCTATATTTCCTTCACTTTGGACCACTGACAGCAAATTGAAAGATCAGCCTGAGCCAAAAATCCAAGGTCAGCACAGGAGCTCATCATTGTGCCCTGCCCAATGGCTAACCTCATGAGCTGGCTAGCTTCCCTGGCTAGGCTCCAAATCCAGAACAGAAAGCTCCATCCCCTCTGCCCCAGGGCCCTTGCTTGGTTCCTTCCCAGGGAGGGAGAGGTGGCACATTTTAGTAGGCTATTTCTCTGTGGTTTTTTGCTCTAAAATGGAAAATCGGTGTCCCTGCTGATGTACTCTGGGGTGATGGCCCGGCCCTGCTCCTACCATTAGCTAGCTGTGTGGAGTGGTCTAGCTCACTGGCTCTGGTTTCAGAGTCCATACTGAGCTAGAATCAGGGCAGACGGTAACATTCTAAGATCTTACAATTCTAAATAATAAACAAAATCACTCTTAAACGTTAAACTGGTACCTAAAAAGGTAAAGCTTGAATCATATCCATTGGTGATAGACAGTATGTCTCAATACATAGTCTACTTAACCTTTGCTAATCTTGTCTTCATTTCTCTGTGTGTGAGGCATACATGCGCATGTGTTTGTGTACATGTGTGTGCATGTGAATATGCACTTGGATATAAAGGCCAGAGTTTGACATTGGGCATCTTCCTTTATTGCTTTCTACCTTATTTTTTGAGACAGGGTCTCTCACTACACCCAGGGCTTGTCAGTTCAGGTAGAGTGGCAGACCAGCGAGTCCTCTCAGGTCTCTGCCTCTGCAGCCCTAGCAATGCAGGTGAGTGCTGCTGCACCAGGGCTTTGCATGCGAGTACTAGGAATCCAAACTCTGGTCCTCATGCTCATGTGGCAAGTACTTCTGGTTGGGAGCCTTGGCCTTTAAGCTATTTCTCCAGCCCCAGGCTTGTCTTGTCCATCTTCTGCCATGTTTAATACTAAGCGCAAGTCTTCAGGCAGCACATCCTAAGGAGACCGAGAAAGCGCAGATTTTAGCAGGCTTGCTCCTTGTCAGTGCAAAGAGCAGACACTTGCTCCCTGTATCCTTTTGGATTCAGTATGATCACTGACTGATAAAGGGCAACTGCAATATGAAACAAGACATACAGAGACCAAGCACTGGAATTTTTCATTTTCAATTTCTGACTTATTTCTTACTGATAAGAGTAAGCAAAAGATGGTAGTTTTTTTTTCAAACTTAGTACAATGTTTCCATTTTTAATGTCCATTGTTCAGTTTCCTCACCACATTCCCCCCATAAGGCAACCTTTCTCTGTTTAAGTTTTCAATGCTGAAACAGAGCAAAAAGTTAAGTATAATGATTCTCTATCACACCTTTATGGTGGAGGGGCATCTCAGAAATTCTTAAGAGGTTTGAACGATCTGTGTACATAAAAGGTACAATCTATAGACATGAAAATGTGTATTACAGAAGGGCACGGTGGTGCACACCTTTAATCCCAGCATTCAGAAGGCAGAGGCAGGTGGATCTCTGCCAGGTCAGCCAAGGCTTTATAGAGAGAGACTATGTCTCAAAATCAAACAAAAATATATATTGCGTTTTCCCACAAAATCTACTATGATAATGACAACCATTTAGTTTCGACAGAATCTTGCTAGGGAGGGGAAGCAGGCAGAAGCTGTGGCGGATATTTTCAGTTCCTATTTCCTCCTCCTTTCTTGCTAAAATATCCTTGCTCTGTCCTGTGGCAATGTTCCAAGGTAATGAATGAGTCAAGACTGGCATGAGCTTATCATTATGGCATCCTCTCCTCGCTCCACCCCCGCTTCCCCCAGGCAGTGAGAAGTGACCATATGGCCCAGTTCCGACAGGAACTGAGGGAAAAGAAGCTAGGTCAGAGAGGGCCTTGAAGGCCACAGGGGGGATTTTGACACTTACCCTTTAATCAAGGATAATTAAAATCAGGACTTTAAATAGCTTGGCCAAAAACATGTATGTAAGCTGCTAATTTGAGCCTAGGTTTTGTGTTTTTTATATTGTGTATAACTAAAAACACTCACTAGAAATTAAGAAATAATGACAATTGACCAAATGAGGCAATATGACAATATGTAAGAACTGAGAAGATTGTGTGCAATCTATTTTATTATTAATAAACCAATTTTATATTTTAATTAGGATTCCTCTACATGAACACATAATTTTAATCCCAGCATTGAAAGAGGCATTAAGAAATTATATAATTCCCATCCCCTGCCTGTGTCTTTTAAAGAAAAGCTCTGGTTTTCCATATGACTGAAGAAATTATGTGATTTTTGTAATTCTAGTGCTAGTTTCAGAAAACCAAGTAAAACACACCAAATCCTTCTATGGATATAAAAATCTCATCCCAGGCACACTGGTATTGAACAAGCAGAAGAAAACCCGTACTACAAAGCACAAAGTCTCCGGCACTGCAGTAAACTGCTGACTCAGCCAATGTGAGACCATTATTTTGGGTAATGATGCTGGTTCCAGGTGGGGAGCATTGCTATGAGATTGCAGACAACATCATTTTTCAAATTATATATTATAACTAACGCAATGAAAACTAGAAAAAAAATGCCGTGTGGTAGACAAGATTCATTTCGTAGTGTTTGAGTGTGTGTATACAACACAAATACACATAATAATGTGGACACACAACTATACACACAAATGCAGAAACACACACAACACAATACTCATTGCTGGACTAGACACCATTTTTTTTCTCATGCTAGGAACTAGTCAGGAAAGTCTGACCTCCATTCTTTAAAGGAACTGACCCTTTGTGCACGAACTGTGCCGTGCCTCCTGCAGGATGAGAGCAAGCCATTCTTGCATTCACGAGAGGTTCCTGTCCAATGGCACGGACACACATTGCTCTACAGATTGTGAAAAGTGTGATACAAATGAACAAAGATACAGAAGAGATGTCACTGTCCTGTAGGACATACTGCATTCTGGTTAATGTTCCTCAGCACATCCCTCCACGTGTCTTCCTTTCTTTCTTCCTTCCTTCCTTCCTTCCTTTCTTTTTTTCCCAACATAGGGTTTTGCTGTCTTTCAAGTTTCTTAATCCATCCCAGGAGGACTTGCTGCATTCCATCTTTGTGCTGTTACTCACAAACCTTAGGAATAAAGAGAAAAATATGAATACCCTAAGTCTTATTTGATTACATCTTCACACCCAATACCCAAGAATGTTAAGATTACAAGGATTTTTGAGGCAAAAATTCGGCTTTCTCTATAAAGAACCACTCTGAATACAAATCCTGCTGTTTTAATCCTTGCATCAAATTTTGAGCCTATCTTTAGAAATTAGACCCCTCAACAGTTAATGAAGACTCATTACTAAGAATGCATGACTGCAGGGTGCTAAGCCATAAACAGGGCATATATATCACTACCCTGCTTCCCAAGGCTCAAAGAACATTTTGGAAGATGGAGCAGTAGGGATTAGAGAGGTGGAATATGGGGAGAAGAGTGCAACGCTATCTTCTGAACTGGCAGTGAACTCACTGCAGCTATGGTTTCATGCACAAGACCTGCCCAAGATGGGGCTCACCAGCACTGTCGTGATGGGGAGGGGCTCTTGAGGCCCCACTCCTCCTGAGGAACTATTTGCAGTTACTTGTGTCTGGGAGAGGGGAAGTCGTTTTCTTCTGTAGTGTAACCACTGGTAAGTTGCTTATGCCTGGTAAACGCTCCCTACCTATGCTCACACAACCCTAATTAAACTCAGTGGTTCACAAGCAACAACAACAAAAACAAATTAACTACCAGAGTAAACATAGAAAAAAAAGACATGAAAATAGTGGAGGGGGGGAGGGGAGAGGATGGAATGTACTGGGAAGAAGGGGTTCAGAGGGAGTGGGAGAGTAGTGAAGGAGGATTATGGGTAATGGAAATGACCAAGTACGTTATATACGTGTACATAATCATCAAACAATGAAAAACAGAAAGTCCAGATGCCCAATGTCATTTGCAATCGGCATAGATACTTGACTGTAGGAAAGGAAAACTTTGAGGACCAGAGGTGCATCCAAGGGCAGCTGCCTGCAGCATGCTTTTTGTTTTTGAGTGTTGTCTGGATGTAGGAAAGAAGTATTATAGCCTTCAACCCACTGTCTTAAATGAAGGAGGCTTAGCTGAATTGTTCAGGAATTCAAGAAAATACCTGATGCATTCTTATTCCTCAGTTTTTTTTTTTCAGAGAAAATATCTTTTCAGCAGTATTTAATTGCTGAAATAAGTAAAATGTAAAATGATTGCACTCTAACCAAAACTGCTTCTAAGAACTTATTTCAAGAACATAATTCCAAAAGAAAACCAACAGTATACACAGATGTATGTGGGGGGGGACTGAGAGAGAGAGAGAGATACAGAGACAGACAGACAGACAGACAGACAGACACATACAGTTGGGGGGGATTAAACTCAGGGCTTCATGTATGTTAGGCAAGCACTGTGTACTGGCTAGTTTTATGTCAACTTGACGGAAGCTAGAGTCATCTGAAAGTAGAGAACCTCAGTTGAGAAAATGTTTCCATAAGGTCAGGCTACAGACAGTTGGACATTTTCTTATTTAGTGATTGATGGGAGAGAGCCCAGCCCATTTTGGGTTCTATAAGAAAGCAGACTAAGCAAGCCGTGATGAGTAAGGCAATAAGGAGCACCCTTCCATGGCCTCTGCATCAGCTCCTGCCTCCATCCTGGCCTGTGTGAGTTCCTGTCCTCACTGTTCTTATCTAGGGACTTATTGCTTATCTTATATTTGCAAAGGATAAGGCACTACTATCTTTAAACATTAAAATATACATAGTTCAAAACCTTTCAGAAACTGTCTAAAAATTATAGCTAAACACTACTCTAGTCAAATAATCAGTGAATCTGGTAACAATCTAGTTGTTCCTGTTGCCTGGGGATCAAGATGCAGAACTCTCAGCTCCTTCTTGAGTGTCATGTCTGCCTGCATGCATCTATGTTTCTCCATGATGATAATGGACTAAACCTCCGACACAGTAAGCCAGCCCAATTAAATGTTTTCCTTTATAAGAGCTACCATGGTCGTGGTGTCTCTTCAGGGTAATAGAAACTCTAACCGTCCTGGGTTATTTATCTTTTTCATTTATGTATCAATTTCATTACCTTATTACAATCATGACTGTATATTCTTATAATGAAGAATTTGCTGAACAGAGTTATGCAAAGTGAAAAAACCAGAGTCAACATTTGATATGTTAGAAATGTCACCTTGGGTCTCTGAGGCTCAGGGCTAAAGCAGACTGTGCTGAGGATCCTTCTGGCCAGAAGAACTTGGAAAGGTGATGGGTTAAGATAAATTGCACAGTAATTTATCTCTTCAGTGGAAGACTATCATAAATTTTGGAGGCAGGAAAAATGGATCTGTTTTCAAGCTTTTTCTCTTCTAGTGTTTCTTTTATTATTTTATCTCTATCTTGTATCCAGAACAGAAACTAGGTAGCCTTGAGAAGAATATTTCTCATCTACCTCTAGATGCAGGCAGGGAAGGTGTGTGTGTGTGTGTGTGTGTGTGTGTGTGTGTGTGTGTGTGTGTATACATGCACATTTGAGTCCCATACATAGATATGTACTATCTTGTGGCTTCACAGCATCTACTGCAACATGCTAGCTATTCCTGGCCCTTGTGGACTAATGGCAAAAGGATTTGGGGTGGTATGGGGTATAATACATCTGAGGAACATGACCAAAGCTTCCACTGTCTTTATTGTTAGACAGATCGATCCTAAGGTCAAACTCCAGTATACGACTTAATCACTAAAAGGGACTGGGCCTAAGTCTTGGCCATTACTGGGAAGACAGATACTAGTATCTGGTCACTAAAACACCCTGAAGCCTCTCACTGGGCCAGAAAGAGGATCTGGTCTCTTTCAGATAAATCGTTCTGGCTCAGGGTTATCCTTTATAAAGGCTGAGCAACTCACATCACCCCACCACTCTTGATCTATTTATGTTAGTGCCCTGGGCTGCATTATGGGAGGCTAACCTTCCATCAGAGTAACAGATGGTAGGGGTGGGGTGGTGGGGGTGAGATGGCAGGGGTGGGGTGATGGGGGTGAGGTGGGAGGGTGAGATGGCAGGGGTGGGGTGGCGGGGTGAGATGGCGGTGGCGGGGGTGAGGTGGCAGGCATAAGGTGGCAGGGTAGGGTGGCAGACTTGGTAAGGATTATTAGTTCTATTTATATGAAGAAAATTTAACATGGTCCTACAATTTCCTCAAAGGGCTTCCTGCCTATGTGAAGGGCTGACCTCATATAGTCAGGATCAATGGATGCCCAGATGGCCTGGATGGTTAGTCAGAGAGGAAATGCTGAAGAGAGGGGAAATGTGGTGACATATTGTGTACCCTAATAAAGCTTGCCTGAGTATCAGAGGACAGAGCCAGCCACTAGATTAGACATAGAGGCCAGACAGTGGTGGCACACACCCTCAATCCTATCACTGGGAGGCAGAGATCTGTCTGGATTTCTGTGAGTTCAAGGCCACACTGGAAACAGAGCCAGGCAGTGGTGGCACACACCTTTAATCCTAGTACTGGGAAAGCACACACACGCCTTTAATCCCAGGAAGTAATGGTTGGATAGACAAAGGTCTATAAGGTGTGAGGAGACAGGAACTAAAGGCTTTTCAGCTAGAGAGGCGTTTTTGGCTAGAGCCTTTCAGATGAGGACTTAGAGGATTCGTGGAATTGGGGAGGTGAGATATGGCAGTGGCTTGTGCCTTTGTCTCTCTGATCTTTCAGCATTTACCCCAATGTCCTGGTACTGGGTTTTTTATTATAAAACCGATTTAAGATTTGAGCAGCAGGTAAACTTAATTCTGCCGAGCGACTGACATGTGAGCTGTAGCAGGGTTTTCTCACCCCAAACCCTGCAAACCCTGCTACATTCTTCCCTGCTGTTGAGGCTTATGCTGCTCTCTTTAGCCAGCTTACCATGACATTTTATCTGTGTTGGCCACAAGAATCTCTTCCCTTTTTATTGAGACACTCTGTAGCTTAAGCTATCTTTGAACTCACGAATCTTCTGCATCATCTACCTGAGTGCTGCGATATAGGAATGTACCATCAGTTCAGCATCAGAATCATTTTATTTTCTTTAACATTTGTTTTTGTTGGCTAGATGTGGTGGCACATGCCTTTAATCCTAGCACTATAGAAGGAAGAAACAGATAGATCTTTGTGAGTTTGAGGCTAGCCTGTGCTACACAGCTAGTTCCAGGCCAGTCAGGGCAACATAGTGACAGCTTCATTAAAAAAAAAAAAAATTATTATTAGTGTGTGTGTGTGTGTGTGTGTGTGTGTGTGTGTGTGTGTATGAGAGAGAGAAAGAGAGAGGGGAAAGGGAAAGAGAGAGAAAGAGAGAGAGAGAGAGAGAGGAAAAGAGATAGGGAAAGGGGAGAAGGGTGGGAGAGAGGTACACATTCATGTGGGTACCTGCAGAGGCCAGAAGAAAGTGTCAGCTCTCCTGGAGCTAGAGTTACAGGCAGCTGTGAGCTGCCCACTGTTGGGTGCTGGGTAGTGAACTCCAGCCCTCGGCAAGAGTAGCAAGTGCTCTTACCTGCTGAGCCATCTCTACAGCTCCTGTTCTAATTCTTATAATTCAAATCTAGCAGCTGCTAGACTTAGAGTTTTGTCCTCTCAGCATGGTATTCCAACTTTCTTTGTGTTTCCTTCTACTCTCTGCCCTGCTTTCTCTATGGAAAAAATTTAAAAATCAGGTCTCAGGTGGGAGCCTTCAACCATGATGGGGTATGATTTAGTTACGGTCAATCACAGTATGCCATTTTTTTCTGACCGAAGTGATAGCTTTAGCAAGTCATGTGATCCAAGAAAGATAAATGTAAAAATTTTACCTGGATCATTTCAGTTGAGTTAAATTGGAAATTTACATTAAAAAAAACAAACTGTTGAAGTCTGGGTATCTAACCTAGTGATGCTCAGCATATGCATGTAGGTCTGGGTTTTTATTCCCTGCACATAGAAACAAGCCCATATAAAGTAAATAGTTTGACATCTAGGAAGTAGTAACGGTAACTCACGGACACCCAGCTCCCCAGTTATCATTTCACACTGGATACTGACAGCAGATTGTCATGTCTGTGGGTAGAGCAAGCTGATTTAAAAATAAACTCCAACGGAATTTTGGCAGAGCCCTGAGGATACCATCCCAGCCCTTTCCTCCAGCTGACCCTAAAGCCATGTCCACCTCCAGATTTTCTTTTCACTTGAGCCAGGTGCCCGCTATATCTTTCAGGAAAGTTGTATTTGAAAAACAGAAACTTAAGCCTGGTCTACAGAGCTAGTTCCAGGACAGTCAAGGCTACACACACACACACACACACACACACACACAAAAAAAAAAAAAAAAAAAAAAAAAAAAAAAAAAAACCAACCAAAACCAAAACCCCAAAAACCAAACAAAAACCAAAAAACTAAAAGCCCAGAAACTTTATAAAAAATTTTTTTTGAGAGAATAAAGCAAAAGGGGACTTCCAAATCCATTAAAATCATCAGCGTTTCAGGCCCATTGTGTCAGTCCTCACACACACACACACACACACACACACACACACACACACACACACACCCTGCCCCTGAATTTAAACTACATAACATACAAATCACTAAGAGACATAACAGGGATACTTCCAAACCTAAAGCTACCTGACAAACACAACGATGAAGATCCAGATAGGCACTGTATCTCGGACTCTATTCTCAAGGGAAGGATGAATGAATGCAGTCTCTCCTTGTTGGCATTTGTGCACACCATTCTTGGAGTGCCGTGAACTGTTCTCAAGATTCTTTTTCCTCCACCATTCGATTTGATGGAACAATATTTACCATTTTGCTTCTCTAATTCTTGCTTGACATCTTCATACACTTGAGAAAAGAGGTCCTCTTCAGATCTTGTTCCATCTAGGTAAACTGAGAAGAGAGAAATAGCAATTTAAATGTTAACAGGCTTATTAGTAAAGGATGCTTTGGCATTTCTTTAAAACACCAATAGCGTTCACCAAAGAACCCAGAACTGTGACCTAAGGAAGGAAGGAGGGAGGGAAGGGATGAAAAGAGAAAGAGACAGAGGTTAAGCATTGTGCATATGGTATTCACTGTGTACCTATTTCTTCTGCATTGGGACACTCCCTCCTAGAGGGAGGAAGGAGGCTCATAAGACTCCAGAGTAAATGAACTCACTGGCTCATGTGTGTGATATATTGTGTATCAAATAAAGCTTACCTGAGGATCAGAGGTCAAGCCAGCCACCAGATTAAACACAGAGGCCAGGCAGTGGTAGCACACACTTTTAATCCTAGCACTTGGGAGGCAGATATCTGTCTGGATCTCTGTGAGTTCAAAGCCACCATGGACTACATGAGATTGATTCTGTTTAGGAGAGAAACAGAACCAGGCATTGGTGGCACACATTTTTAATACCAGTACTTGGGAGTCACACACCTTTAATCCCAGCACTTGAGATCTCATGCCTTTGCCCCCAGTATTTGGGAAGCACACACACCTTTAACCCCAGCACTAGGAAGGAAGTGAAATGGCTGGGCAGAGAAGGGCATACAAGGCACGAGGACTCAGGAACTTTCAGTTGGAGGATTCGTGGAGACAGGATCTGGCCTTCCCTTTGGCCTGAGGGGTCTGTCGTGGTGAGAAGTTTCTCTAGTGGCTTGTTCCTTTGTCTCTCTGATCTTCCAGCAAGCTTTATTTGATACACAATCTATCACCACACTCACGGAGCTCCTGGGATTCACAAGGCCCCTTGAGAAGGTTACATCAGCAGCAACAACTGCTGGGGACAGAAGACTCTCCCATGCCCAGAGCAGCCATCAGGTTGTACAAGCAGCTCCAGGGATGCTGCTTAGAGGAGGCGTTGCCATGGTGACATGGACTTGTTGGTGATGCAACTGTCTTTGAGTCACCATGCTCCTGTAAGTAACCCCAATAAACTCACTGGCTGACTAAGCTGGATGTGGGCAGTTTCTTTGGTTTGTTCTTGGTGCCTGACTATCACAGAATGGCAGGAGACTGCAGTGATGCCTGGCCCCAAGAGGAGCAATTCCTCACCCAACAAACACATGGCCCACCTGGGATCATCTGTGACGCTTTTAAACTGTGTGTCAGTCTGGACTTTACCACACACTACCGAGACCAGAGGGATACGTATTTACATATTTTCAGCAGAACTGGCATAGACACTTTTCGAGAAAAAGAAGTTACCTGGGTTAAAGAAAAAAATGACCCTCTAGTCGTAAAACAGCAAGGATGAGGAGATCTGAAGAGGAGTTGCCTGTTGGGAAGCGTGAGTGGCGAGCAGCAGAGGAAGGAACAGCACGGGAGATGAAGTTTTGGAGAAAGGTTGTGCCTTGCTGTCTTTCTCGATTTTTTTTTTTTTTTCCCAAAGAGCTGGAAACCATGGACTGACTTCATTTAAACAGGGTGACCTAGTTTCTTTTCAGGAGTTGTGATAAAACACTCTAACCAAAAGCAACTTGGGGAAGAAAGGGTTTATTTGGCTTAGACTTCACTGAGGGAAGTCAGGGCTGGCAGGCAAGGTGAGAACCAGCCACAGGAACCGTGGAGGATGCTGCTTGCTGGCTTGCTCTCTGCTCGATCAGCTGGCTTTCCTACACAGCCCAGGCCTAACTGAGTACAGTGGCATTGCTCACAATGAATGGAGCCCTCCCACAACACGCGTCAGTCAAGACAATCTGTCACAGAGATGGCCACAGGCTGATGTAATCTAGGCAATCCCTCACTTCGGACTCCCTCAGAATGACTCTAGGCTGTGTCAATTTGACAGCTGACATTAACTAGGCCAAAGAACACGGACAACGTTAGACTGGTAGTTTAGACGGAGGGAGCGAAGTGTGTAAGAGGATGTTTCTCCTGTCCGGGCAGCTGCTGGGGCGCCACAACACAGCAACAGCTCTGAGACGGACCTGCGCCCTTGCTGCACAGATCTGCACAGAGCTACCTTCCCTGGAGGCCAGCAGGCTCCTTTCAATACGGAGGAGTCCCCTTTGCTCTGAAAAGTATACCAGTCTGATTCCTCTGATGTCCTGTCCAACAGACTTATGCCACTCTCTCCCCATGAGCACTGTATAAACGCTCCAGCAACAGTCTCTTAGCTCGAGGCCCAAATATTCCTATTGCCTCCAAACTGGTACATTGTCTCTCAGGTATCTCAATCTTATTTCTTGCAAAACACATTTGTCCTACCTCACATATCTACAACTCCTTCATGTTTTCTCCCCCAAAATATCACCTGCTAGTTCCTGGGGTGTCTGTCATCTTTGGTACCTTTATGCTCCAGTTCTACTGAGTACTTGTGTTCAGTACTGCAACCTCTGAATCTACCCTTCAGATCACGAGAGGTCCTACTGAAAAGAATAAGTACCAACCACGACGGTGTTTAGAGCCTGTCTGCAGAGAGCTTCCCAGTTCTAGGACATCCTACTAGCATGAGAGGGCCCAGCCTTGGCCTGTACCAACAGCCATAGCACATCCTCCCCTTGCTTTTCTCTACTTCAAACACAACAACCTCTTTTAGGTATTTCTCGTGCCTTCCTCTTCCTAGGTCTTTTCTTGGTTCTTCCTATGATCTGGATGACAGTCCTTCCTCCTAACTTAACTATCTCCCGCCCGCCCCACCCCAAGGCAGCTCCACATAGGAGTTTAGTGACAGATAGTTTTCTCAAGGGACCTGGAGGTGGGCAGTCTCCCTGGTGCTTAAAGTCAGTGCTTACCTGGAGAAAAGACCTGTTTGTAAAGCTCACACTTTTAAAGCAGTTTCCCCGTGAAATTTGAGCTGGGTGAGGTAGAGACTGGGTCTGCTTCCCTTCCCTTCCCTTCAGGCAAGGGTGAGTCAATGAATGATCACATGGGACTCCGACATGCTTGACAAGGAGAAAAAGAAACCAGCAAGAACTAGTTTCAGAAGAGGGGAGCCCTGAGATTGCCTGAGCATCTCTTTAAAAACTCCTTGAGAAAAATGATTTCCAAGTAATCCTTCCTGTACTTTGACATAAATGAGAAGTAAAAGGTCTTCAGAGAGGGGGGTACTTACCGATCTCCCAGGTGATGGTGTTCATTTCTTGTCTGTGCTTTAGGTACATGGGCCACACATGGCCATCAAAATACCCTGGGGGGTCAGGAGGCTCATACACCCTTGTACTGGAAAAACATGCAGGAAACTTGATGTTCATATGAAATTATGACTGACAAAGTAAATGAATCCAGTCAAAACAATGCGAAAATCACTCATGTTGAATCTAAACAGGAATTCAGACTTTTTTAAAAACTCAATCATAGTGAGAAAAGCAGCAAAATGGACTTAGTTCTATATTTCAAACCATAAGCCTGTAACTCATTAACACTCACAATTACCTTTTCTCAGCCTCCTGTGTTTTATGAAAGAATTATGGGACAAGTACAAGAAGAAAAAAGGAGTGAGATATGGACAGGCTGGCTTCCTCACCTATTTAGCTGGTGTTCTCTGCAGTGATAGCAGAACCTGGGCATGGAGGCTGAGGAGGAAGGAGCTCACAGGGTGACACTGGCCCTTCTTAGAGAAGTTCCTGTGTACTACCCCAGGTGATGAGCACTTCTACAAAAAAAGTCTGACTTCTGATATAAGGCTTGATCAATAATGCCACTTTCCTTATTTTCCTATTTTGTCTTTTGGATAACAATGCACAGAGATGGTTTCTAAACGTACCTCCTCCTCCTCTTACATTCTTCATAGGGAATGGTCAGGAAGTAACTTCTGTTCCATATGGTGTCCAGTGGCCTAAGATAACAACACTCAGTTCACAAGGCTCTGTCTCCCACCCCCTGCATTCCTTCCGGTTGGTATTAGGGTGGGGAGGCTTACCTATAATTAAAGAGAAGGAAACCTTCGATAATTAAGATGGGAACGCCTTGAGCACTTTCTAAGGCTACTGGTCCCGCAGAGTGTCCTGGGTTTTCCATCCAACATGAAACGGCTGACATCATTTTTTCCATGTTAAGTGCTTCGAGCACTGAGACAAACATAAAACATATGAAATTAATATAGCAAACTTTTTTTTAGGTGGTTGGCTTTTGTGATAAGTGTCTCCAGGGCCCTATAAATGTATGACATAAGAGCATTTCACTTATCCTTCAAGATATCTAATAATAAATACTTAAAACACCCAATTAAGACACTAATAGAGATATATGTAAATGGTATGTCTGAGACACTTTTATAGTGGAAAAATAAAGATGTACAAATGTAAAATACAATGAATAGCATGCCACTATTTCTAGCTGTAATTTTTTTATATTGATATATTTATTGTGTATGTGTTGGGGTCAGAGGACAACTTGAGGGATCCAGTTCTGTCCTTCCACCATGGAGATCCTAGGGATGGAACTCAGGTTATCAAAGTGCCTTTACTTACTGAGTTTTCTCTGCCCCAGCCTTGATGCCATAAATTCACGGCTGACTATCCCATCCACTCCTTCCTGATAATTGAAAAATTTTAAGTTTATGGTACTGGAGACAATATGTTCAGTAGTTGAACTATATATCTCCAGCAAAATCTTTAAAAATCAAACTTAAGTTAGTGCTGGAGATGGCTTGGTGGTTAAGAGTCTCCAAGGCTCTGGCTGAGGAGCTGGACTAGGCCCTCTGGATAATCGAGAAAGTTGTTTGGCTTGAACTGTTTAGGGGACCCCCAGACAGTGGGACCGGGACCTGTCTCTAGTGCATGAGCTGTCTTTTTGGAGCCCAGTGCCTATGGTGGGACACTTTGCACAGCTTTGGTGCAGGGAGGAAGGGCTTGGACCTGCCTCAACTGAATGTACCAGGCTCTGCTGACTCCCCATGTGAGATCTTGCCTTGGAGAGGGTGGGAGTGAGGGGTGGGTTGGGGGGACAGCTGGGGAGGTGGGAGGAGGGAGGACGGGGCAATCCGTGGTTGATATGTAAAATAAATGGGAAATCTCTTAATAAAATAAAAAGGAGAAAAGACAGAGAAAAAAAAGAAGAAGAAGATTCATGGTCAATTCCCTGCACTTGATATGGTGGCTTACAGCTGCCTGTAATTCCAGTTTTGGAAGACAAAATAAACTATAGATACATTTGAAAGATAAATAACATATCATAATCTATTTGGAAAGTAGCTACTATTTTTAATTGTAAAGGATCTCTTATAAATGAAAAAAGTTATTTTTTTTTAATGTTTATAGGTGTTTTGCCTGCTTGTATGTCTGTGCATATGTGTTCAGTGCTCACAGATGCCAGAAGAACACATCAGATTCCCTGGAAACTGAAGTTACATACAGTTGTAAGCTGCCATGTGGGTGCTGGGAAATGAACCCATCTGCTAGAAGGGCAATCAGTGACTAATCACCAAGCTCACATCTCTCCAGTTCTACACAAAACCTTTTAAAAGTTACAGGATATAAGCCGGGCAGTGGTGGCGCACGCCTTTAATCCCAGCACTCGGGAGGCAGAGGCAGGCAGATCTCTGTGAGTTTGAGGCCAGCCTGGTCTACCAAGTGAGTTCCAGGAAAGGCGCAAAGCTACACAGTCTTGAAAAACCAAAAAAAAAAAAAAAAAATTTACAGGATACAAATGTCTTTGTAAACCCTGAAATGTGCAACTTCTGGAGCTAACAAGTATGGCTCTACAGAAGCAGAACATGTATTCTTTATGCACGGTCTTCAGACCAGACCAGCAACTTGTCAGACATGAAAATTCTCAGCCTCATGCCTGGACTGCTAATCACACCATGTGCCCTCACAAGTGTTCCTACTGGAAAGTTTTAAGGGGTGGTCTAATTTGTTAATAGAGATAAGACTATTAAGATTTTCTATGGTTACCCTGCTGGTTTGGCTAAGTGCCACTTTTTCCAGGAAACTGTCAGTTTCATCAGTTTACAAATAAATCTCATAGGAATATCCACGACTGAGGTAAGCACACATGTGCACAGACATACAAGCAGGCAAAGCACCAGGGCTTCTTTTCAATATCTGTAAGGTCTACGATCCCGCTGTTTCCCATGGTTGCTATTTGTAACTTGTACCTCTCCTAATCATTTCTTGACCCATTTTGTAGAACCCCTGTGGGGGGTCACTAGATTCTTCAAACAACAGATTTATGTCTCCTCTCAACATGAAGTCTTTACTATTATGTCACCGAGTCCTTGTTCCCTCTTTCTGAAACTCCACAGGTAGAGATGTTAGGTTGTTTGCTATCACTCCATCCTTCTCAATGTTCCCCCATTCAGAGAAATTTCTACCATGTGTTCAAGTTACAACTCTTTCTCTCTCATATTTATTTTTCCACTGAGTCTATCCAGAGAGTTGTAAGATTTGGGTTATTATACTTATTTCAGTTACTAAATTTCTTCTTGGCTCCTTTTTTTTGCATTTCTATTTCTTTCCTGGAACATTTAAACTTTTCTGATTCAAGTCTATCTACAGTTGCTTGCTGACCCTTTTTTACAAAGCCACTTTAAAATCTCCGTCAGACAATTTCGACAGCATCATCACAGAACTGGTGTTTATCAGCCATTATTTCTCTAATTCAAGTTGAGATTTTCCTGCCTCGTTGATGGACATATGCCTTTCAGATATGTCCTGATGATCTTGGGTGCTGTGTATTGAGGCTACTATCTAATCTTATTTTGCAGCCAGTCACTCTGAAGTGCACCCAGATTCAGAGGAGCGTGTATGTTCAGTGTCCATACGATACCAGGTGGGTGGGAGGGGGTCATAGAGGGAAAACGCTCTGTGGACACAACAGGGGAATAAGATTTTCCTTTTGTGCCTAGCTAAAGCAGGGGAAAAAGAAACTGTATTCTGGTAGGCCACCTTTATTCTAGTCCTTTGGTCATAGGTTTCTTGGTGCTTTTTATGTTCATTGATGTTCATGTTGCATACATTTCCAGCACTCCAGGTCCCATATGGGAAGAAATAAAGAAAACAGAGTGTCTTAGGGTTTCTATTGCTGTGAAGAGACACCATGACCAAGGTAATGCTTATAAAGAAAACATTTCATTGAGGCAGCAGCTAATAGTTTCAGAGTTTTAGTCCATTATCATTTTGGTGGGGGTGCAGTGGCATGCAGGTAGATATGGTGCTGGAGAGGTAACCAAGTGTCCTACACCTTGGTTTGTAGGCAATAGGAAGTGGTCTGAGTATCACACTGAGGATAAAGAGATCTCAAAACCCACTCCCACAGTGACACACTTCCTCCAACAAGACCATACCTACTCCAACAAATTCACACCTCCTAAGAGTGCCACTCCCTAGAGCCTGAGAAAACTGGAAAACAAAAACAGAAACAAAAAACTAAAAAAAAAAAAAAGGACACAGCTCCTTTAAGAAGTTTTGCCATACAGAAACAGCCCTTTTCATGTTAAATACAAACAAAAAACTAAGTAAAAAATGCTTGCCACAGTTCAAGGCACCAGCATTCCATAGCTGGGGGGCTGACCGCAGTTCCAGGTCAAACAATCCTCCGACCAGGCTGTAAGCTTTAGGCTTGGTTCTCGTGAACCCAGAAGCGGGCAGAGCCAGGCAAGAGAACCACATGGAGGATCCAGGTGTAGCTTAGCCGACTAAAGTTTGCTCCTGCAGTCAAAAGACACTAGAGATACACAGTAAAAGAGGTCCAGATGGAAAACCTCCAGACAGGTTCCAGTGTGTTTTACAATGTGTGTGGGCTTAAGAAAGAAAGAATATGGGTATAGACAGTCATAGAAAGAAATAAATAGTTAAAAAAAAAAGTCTTTAAAGAGAGAGTAAAAGTTATATAAAAGAAAAAAAGCCACATAAGATGGTAAATACACAGGGAGTCTGGATCCTGTGTTATTGTTTTGATTTTGAATTTTTTGAATGTTGGTAAGCAAATAACAGCTGCTAAGAGACATAGGCGTGTGAGCAGGACTGCAAAACTGAACCAACATAGATACTTTAGGGCTATCTTAACTTTTTTTTTTATCTTAACTTTTAAAAAGAAGTAAAAAGTGTATTTTTCAAATGGAAATAAAAAATGCCTTGGAGTTTTGTTCCACAGGAGAGGAGAGGTTATAGATTCCTTCAGGAATAATATGGATCAGGTTTGATCAAGGGAGACCTCCTGAACCTTGACAGGTGATATCTGTTAACAAAGGTTACTGCTGGTGTTCCCAGGATTTGGCCATTATCTCTAATTTTCTCTCTGGGACCTCAAAGATACTTTCTCCACAGACAGCAGGAAACAATGACACCCACATTTCCAAGAGGGGTGTGGGAGGCTTTTGGTTATTTGGCGGGTCATGGATGTTTGTTATATTTAGGGGAATATAGGATAAAAAGACAACTATTAACCTCAGATGTTTTGCACTGGCATGGATTTTGATATACTGATACAAATTTAAAGTTAATTTTGTTACACTGTATATATGTTTCTACTCTTGTTTGGGGTATTGTGCTTATGCAGTTCATTTAAAAATGCAATGTATCAATAAGAAATGAGGTTAATGGTTAATCTATAATTATCAAACTTGTAGTCACATTAGTTATGTTTTCAAGGTTAAATAGGTATATTTTAAATTGAATGGTCTTCAAACACTTTGAAGACCTATAGAATATGGCATGTAAAACATTTTGTTAACCTAAGGTTTTTTCATTACAATGAAACACATCTGTTCCTGGCAGCACCAATTTACTTCAGAGATGATGGGCATTTAAGAAACTCCTTATAGAGTTTGCTTTGTGACAAGATTAGCCACTGGGCATAGAACAGATTGTTATAGTTTGAAGACTAGATAGTTATAGTTGCAGTTTTCCTTAGTTATGATAGAAAGTAAATTAGGTGTAAAACTTTGGATTCACTAAGGATAGATAATGCATTATTTTCTCTGAAGATGCTAACTACAAATGGGCAGATTATTGTAAATGTAATTCTTTTTTTTTCAATAATTGAGAAAAACTGAAATTTATTATAAGCCACAGTTGTCCTAGGGACCTCCATGCTATATATATA